AAACGAGGCACTTCACACCCTGCGCCACCTCCAGCTTTCAGACTGGTTTATTCYAGTTTGATGGAAGGGTTTACGTCTGAAACGTTTTATGTACAAATGAATTAAAAGATGTCAAAAACAGAAGACCTGTCCATCCAGCCTTACATGTTGGAGCCAGAGTCTGACCCAGAGCCAGAGGAGAATGAAGACCACTAAATTGTAGTTGGCACGTCTAGACCTTATTCAGAAGTTACGTCTCAAATTCTGTGATGTAAAAATTCAGAAAACTTAATAGAAAATAGAGAAAACCGAACAAGTTGAAAAATATAACAGAATATAAWAATATCGATACAGCACCAGGAGAGACTTTTTTTTTTTTTGCACTTCTAGAGACTTCAAGTGCACAATAAAATGTATTTAATGGCTAAAACGTGGATTTTTGGCCTCTCTAAATATGTAAACTTTAAGACTGCACATTTCTTCAGCAGTTAGAAGAGAGCTCTGGGGGTGGGGGGTTTCTTCATGGAGTTTATATGTTTTTCCTGTACTTGTGTAGTTTTTTCTGGTTACTTTGGTTTAAAAAATGTTAGGTTAACTGGAGATTTAAATTAACCCGAGGTGTGAGTGGTCCAATGATTGACTGACAACATGTGCACCCCATGCAGMCAAATGACAGCTGGAGAAGGGAGCCAGCTCTCCTCCACCCAGAACAACAAGCAGGTAAAAAAAAAACAGATGGCTGGATGTACAGTCATCTATTTACTTTAATTCCAAGCTGTTTCCTTTTCAACATATTCTTTCTCGCTTCCGCATTTCTCTTTAAACTCAAACTCCTCAGCCTGGAACTCAACAAAGTCAATGAAAACAATCATTTAATGAGCTGGCAGGAACATCTGTATTTTTCTCCCTTTTATTGTGCACGTCAAGAATTTAGACAAAGAGTCTGAGAAGGTGTTTGACTTTTTTAGACTAACATTAATGAAGCTCATATGCTTTGAAAAATGACACCACATGGAATCACATGTGAAGACAAATGTGTCCACATGGTCYCTGTTTGTGCCTAATATTTAGAAATATGAAAACTATTCGCTCAGTAATGCCTCTAACTTCTGAACTCAGACTTTTCGGAGGTTATATAATCTATTGTTTCTTTTAATGAAATTCAGAAGACGAAGAAGGGGGGGGAAATTGGGGTGGGCACAACAAAAGTGTGTAATTTTCACATATTTGAGGAAGGAAAAGCCAGCATCCCTCTACAGTGGACTAAAAAAAGTTCAGTTATTAGCTGTGGTGACAAGTGATGCTGGTGGTTGGGTGGTGGGGTGGGGGTGTACTCCATCAAACTGGCTTTCAGCAGTGTACCCCGGTCCATCTTCTTGGGCCCCTTAAAGCCACTGCCACAGTCCAGTGCCTCTCCAGAGGAACTATCAAAGAGCCTTTATCTCTGTAAATATTCTAGTAATTTGAGATATTCAACACCTATTCGATACATCAAGGTACGTTGCCAAGCTCTGGGGTTGGAAAGCAGGGAGGGTCCGGATGAAAGAGAGGCTGGTGGTCAAGACGGTATCAGCTGAAAAAATCTCCAGTGAAGATGAACAAGTGTTGCGTGATGTGCAGGAACATTAAAGCTTTGCAGTGCAACGTAACAAATTCCCTCCCCACCTCACTGGTTCTCTCTGAGGGTCTACAAGGTTCTCATATTCAAACTTTATTTGTGTTACGGCAGAAATAAACTAACTTTTAGAAAGTTGTTTACAAAGGCTTTGAGAAAAACACAAGAGAGAGACATTCAACCTGTTTAAATATTTTGTTCTGAGACATAATGCCTGCAACTTTTAGCTGAGCTGAACATTTTCTACAAGTTTTTAAAAGTAGAATTTTATTTTGACATGGGGCACCGACCCAGCATAATTTTTACAGCTATTCTGGGACATTTTTAGCATTTATATGTGAATRAAGACATTTGTAGAAATGGTGCTGTGTTTAAAAGGACAAGAAAAAAAATAAATTTAATAATAATGTGTATAAAACCAAAGGGGCCATGGTTTTAGATGTTGCAGAAGTTCAAGTTTTTGTTTGTCAGTTCACCACCTTCAACAAAAATATATCGGCAACTGCTCAGTGTTTTGTATGAAACTTGGAATAGGCCTAATTTTCATGAATCTTGTTACTTTTGGTCATGCAAGAAAAATGCAAGTAATTTAGTCTGACATTGTAATACATTCAACCTACAATGTGTACACACCAACAACACAATATTATGTTTAATGATATATTTGCACAATTAGTGTGAGATGTAAAGGAAAACAAACAATGAAAATTACATGTAAAAGGGCTTCAAGTGTGCTACGTGATCATGACTGTGCAGCCTGAGTATTAATGTTAGTACTGAGTGTCGACACTGTTGGGTCACTACTGGTTTTGTTGTTACAAAGTATAAAGTGTGTTTTTAATGTCATGTTTCAAAGTTGCTGCCTTCCTTCCACAAAATCAGCGGTGGGCACAATTCCCCTAAAGCACTAAAGCACTAATARGGGGAACTAATTTCCTGATTAGTGCTTTAGGGCTTTTTCCAAATTAAAAAATTTATTAGTGGATTAGCACTTGTTAAAGTGCCTGTGACATCAAATTTTTGTAATAATTATGAATGCATTTTTGGACAGATAACATTGCAAAAACATATTTTATACCACTGAGATGAATAGTTGATGAGATATCTGCATGTGAAGTAACAGGAAATGATGTCAAAGGGGAATGTCTGAATGTAAATAGAGAACCGCTACAATGGCTAACAACACAGACTGTAGAGAAGAATCTGATGTTTCTTTAGATTATTTTGTCTCTATCAAAGAGAGATGAAGAAAAGCCAGAGTTCAAAGTATATTGTTTTAATAAACAAAGACCAGAGAGTTTCTCATCTTAAAGCATTCCCCTTTGATGTCACTTTCTGTTTCATATTCGCTGAACCAAATTCAAAAGAAAATACGCCAGTTATGTGACAAAATAGGTAAGATCGTGTGTTTTATGACACGTTTCTTAAATATAAAGACGTTTACTTTGACTTTTTGTATTTGAAGGATATGCACGTCACAGGCACTTTAAATTTAAAAGCTAAATTTAGAAGCACTAACTGAGGTCTTTAAATGTTGTTGATCAACATTAATGTTCACAGCTGAGGGTGAAAGCTGTCACACATTTTGTTTATATGTGTGTCAATTATAGGTGACAATATATGAACTCAAATACAGCTGTGGAAAGTCAGTGATAAGTCTTAAGAGAGCAACATGACAACATGTGACTCATGTTGTCTGTTGAAGAATGTTGATGGGTTCATTGGGTTATTTTAGTGCTTTAGAATTAGCTTTTGCTAAAACTTTCAGTGCATTAGTTCTTTAGAATTAGGGGACCTAAATATTTGAGTTAGTGTTTTAGGGCTAGGGGAACAAATTTTTAGATTAGTGTTGCCCACCACTGCACAAAATCTATCGACATGACTGACAAATGGTAACCTGGCATTGCTGGAGATCACACTATCTGTGCTATCAGATATATGAAGAAGCGATGTTGTTGGTTATCTTCATGACAGAAAGCACAACATCGGCAGAATCCTATCACTAATTGTTGAGAATACTGTACAGGAACACATGTGCTGAGTACAAACTGTCAGTCTAACAAAGTAGGAGACAACAAGGAAGGTGGATAACGGTAAGATTAAGATACTGTGGACTTCCAGATTCAGACTGACCAACAAGTGATGACCAACCAACCAGGCTTTGTGGTGACTGACAAATTACACAAAAAGGAAGTGGTGATAGATGTAGCAACGCTTGTAATGTCAAGAAGCCAAAGAATTATCAAGGGCTGAAAAAGGATAATAGAGAAGAAGTATAAAGTCAATGTGTTTTTGATACCAGTGGTCATCAAAGCACTTGGTGCTGTGAACCCTCAAGCTGGAAGAGTGGTTCCAATACTTTCCAGGAACGTCCTCAAAGATTTCTGACCATAAGAATGAGGTTCAGGGAACAGCTAAGATGCTGAGCAGAATCCTCAAGCTACCAGGTCTCTGGTGGAGGACTCGAGCTTGACATAAAGTGAAAATGCGACCCACTCATGTGGGAAAAGTTCAAAGTTTAGTTTTAAGTTATTACAAGTGACTTTAATCTGTTTTGAAAAATAGCTAAGTAAAGATCAAATTGACTATGCTTTTTAGACAAGTACAGATCTAGCTCGATCAACACTAACAAAATAAATATCCTCCCCTTAGGGAATAAAAGCTTGGAGCAAAGTGCAATAAACCTTTTGTTAGTACAAATCCATCCCTATCTAAACATCCCTGCTGTCTAAAACAACAGAAGGTATTCATGTGGAAAACTTTAAGGCTGTATCACATTCCTTCTCTAATAGTCATTGGTAATGACAGACGGTCCTGAAATTTGACTGTGATRTTTTCAGGAACATCAAACAGATGATTTCACAGCTGCCAGGTGCTCTCCCTGAGCCCTCTGTACCTCTCCATTTTGGAAGTGAACAGGAAAATAACTGTTCCCGTAACATGATTGAAACACGGCCCAGCTTGTCTACTTGAAGAAGAACAGTTGCTTTTTGTCATTTTCTGTCACAGGAGTAGGTCAAAGCACAGAAATGAGACCAGGGCTGCCGTTTACTGCTAGCAAGTACATAAAAAAAACATTTTAAAACTAAAGACCCACCTTGTGTACATAACTACCTGTTCACCTGGTGACATAGCGGCTGGGATGAGTTTAAAATTAGAGTTAATTATAGGTGACTTAAAATATCTCTGCTGCTCACCTAAAAGAGATTTTCTTCAAGCATGAGGAAACCATAATTTTCYAAACACAACAAAGCTGGGATTAAAACACTATACACAAAAGAAACATGAGCTGTAGCACAAATACAAAACCTTGCTAATTCTGATGACCAACATGAAATATGATCAATTAAATTCACTTAAAACAATAAATTCTAGGTGAATAAATGGTTACACTTTTTTTTCTTACCTCACTAAGTCTGCAGCATTCATCCATGTAATCCTTCAAACTGTCACTGGAGGAACTCCGTCTGGGAGTTTTTACCTTTGTCTCATTGTTCATCCTGTCCTCACATGTTCCAGAGGACTCCTCAACAAGCTTCTGATGCTCAGAACAAGTCCTTTCAGTTAAAGCACCAGCTTCTTCAAACTGATCCAGTTTCTCTCTGTTGCCTCCTTCAGAGTTCATTCCTGAAGCCCTGCTTTGGTCCATGTCATCACCCAGGTACAGTTTTACCACAGCTGATGAAGGACTGAAATCCTCTCCCTGTTTGAACATGTTTTGATCTCCTACCATTGTATTCAAAATCTCATCAAAGTTGTTTACCTCCTTAATGTCAGAGTTTCGTGAACTGGTACTTWGTTTATGAGGAGAAGAAGTAGGGTCTGAGTTTAGGTTGCAGGAAACACAAGAGGACTCTCGACTGTGGACCACAAAGCTCTGCTCCGAGCCCGTCGGGGTCGACGGAGAGTTAGCTCCACTGGGTAGTTCCACTCCAGAGTCCTCCGATTCAAACTTGTACAACCTCGGGAGCTGAGAGTCTAAGAAAATACCAGTCAGGTAGCCTGATCCCGACTCTGCCTGCTGGTGCTCAGAAWTGTCTTTGGGGTGGGAATTTGGCTCAGAGGACGTGATGGGGTCCATGATTTCCTGATCAGAAACCGACACAGATGAGATCGTGGAGATGGAGTCATCGCCCCTTGGTAGCTTTGCACGAAAGTTGTTAAAAACCTTCATTTTTGTCAGGACAACCTCGTTGTTTAGTACTGCATCCCGGTCTCCTTTTCCTGTTACAGAGAGAAAGAAATATACCTTCATTGTAGCAGAACTGAATTATTTATGGGCAGAACATCATTTTGACAAAACTTCCACAAAAACATCATTATTTTAATGCCACTTTTGCGTTGCATTTACATAAATCTTGCCTGGGGAACAAAYGCTCTTATCACCACAATTTAAAGCCAAAAGGGTCCATATGTRTAAATAACCTACATTAAAACTCATCTCTTCCACAGTTTTTCCCAAACACATCAAAAGAAAAACGTCCATCCCTTTTCTGATCCCACTTSTTCTCTTTCAGGGTTGCTAGTTGCAGGTGCCGATCTCCAGCAGTCAACAGGTGAGAGGCAGGGTCAGTTCAACCATTCACACCCAATGAACATAACATGCACGGGGTTTTTGTTAGGCTGTGGGAGGAAACTGGCCGGCTCCACACAGTGTTGTTAATGTGCATCAAAGGAAGTGAGCCACAGAGGACCTTGAAATACCTGAGCTTAAGCCAAATCTCAGGAAGGCTTGGGGCTGCAGGGGGATGTGAAATTACTTCATTAAAAGATTTTCAGCAGGAACAACATTACATAATATATGGCTGTTATTCAACTATTATTCATTTAAACAGCATTTAGAAACCAAACCAATGTATTTTTACCTTTTCTTTTTATGTTAGCTGCCTAACGCTAGTCTAGATGYCMCTTTTTTAKTTTGAAAGGCATGAATACWTTCCATTGTTTTGATGCTTTAGTGAAACCCAAAGCATCTTGTTCTTTTACTCAARTACCACAGGACAAGTGTCATTTGTCAGTGTTCCCTATACTGGACCTTGATCTGAGGCTCCACTTATGACCATTACAGTGAGCAGCCATATGTGTCYTCTACTTTTTTCCCACTATGAAAAATCTGATATGTCTCACTATCATTCAGTTTACATTCTTTTCTCCTGCAAGCTTTGAAATCGAAAAAAGAATGCACCCTATCCCAAATGAGACTTGTGTTTTCTTGTTTTGCTTGAACATACAGTATAATACTACACCGGTCTAATTGAATGAGTACAATGACTGCGTTTAAAGATTACACTGAGTGTAGAGGTTGAGGGACTTCCTGCAGAGTGATTCTGAGTTCTCTGCCAGGAAAAACACAAGATTAAAAGTTCTCTGAAGTGGTAAATCGAAGGCATTTATCCCCTCCAAGGGGAAATTTGAAGGTGGGAGTCTCTTCACTCAAATTTTCTTTTATTGTATATCAATAGACGTTAAACAAAGGTTCTTTGGCTTTTTATCACTAGGTGCAGCAATGCATCTGCAAACTAAAAAGGAATGTTGACGTTTGCACATGAACAATCCCTTTCCTCTGAGTGGTTTTCACGGACCAGAGACGGYGTATGAAACTTACAAAGGTAGAGTTTTGTCTGTAAAYTGGCAACAAATGAAAAACTGAGAGMAAAATGTCTTTACAGTGAGCTACTTTAGAAAATTGAAATCAAATGAATGAAAACAATAGTCAYGATTACAGCAGGGTATTTTCCTCAAAGCCTTTTTATGTTGGTTGTGAAAGCTTTGGCTGGTCAAAACACACCTGCAGCCCTGCAAGATACCGGTAGTCATTGCTTTGATATGCTTTASTTGAACTAAAGCAGGTCTGCCTAAACACTGATAGTCCTGTGTTTGGATGTGCCRTATCAGCTTCTAAAGGCTCTGAACCTGGACTCTACCCATGTTAAACAAGTCTATGTTTTCCTACCTTTGGTTCAACGCAAAAACAAGGGTTCAGCCTTTGAAAATGTCGATGGAAACTTGGTCTGTTTTCATATGGTGCTGTCATATATCCAGAATCTAACAGCTCAGACCCTCAAAAAGAAAAACAAATGCAATTATTAAATAACATTTCAGTTTGCCATGATAAACAAAAAAACATCAAATTTAAAAGAATACTACATATTACTTTGAGAAAAGAATGTAAGAGCTGCAAAAAACAACCTCATCAACAAACTTTGGGGGCTGATTTAGGAAAGGTTTGCATGCATAAAAAGATGTGCAAACTTGATAGTGCATRCAAAGCTGATTTACAGATCTGGTGCCAAGCTGGCAAAGTGGTTTGTCAACCGGATGTGGGCCAGGCCTGGCAATGTTGGCTCTGTTTCTAAGACAGTATGCCACAACTGGTCTGTTTGTGGTTTGGTTTATGTAGTGCTGGCTCATGCATGGACCACCTATGGCAAACCACATTTGGGCCACCAAAGGGCTGTCATTCTTTACAGTATCTGGACCAAGTGTTAGTTCATTGTGTGGACCAGAACTGGGCCAGACAAATGTTGCTATGTGGAAACCCTTTAAGTAAATTATCTTGACAAATAGGTGTCCTATTCCAACCCTAGTATTTATGTCAAAGTAATAAAAGTTTAATTCTTGAAGTTAAATCTATTTATCACCACCCTGAGGATGTGACTAAGTGATTGACATAAAGGGTAAAAATCATATACACTTCCTGGCCAAACAATAAAGTCACCATCAAAAAAAGGAAACACTCTAATATTTTGTTGGATTGCCTTTAGCTTTGATTACGGCACACATTCAAGCCCATTCTCAAAATACCTGCACATTAATTTCAAGGTTTCTAATGACAAAGAGGAGAGATGCTTTGAACATTAATGGAATTTCTAAAGTCTGAAGTACAGAAAGTCTTTGTGTTTTCTTTTTATTGTATAGAATTTTTTGTTTAATAAATAAATTAATAGTCCACATTTACATAGCAATAATAACACTAATTTTAGCATACCAACATTACACAGAGCAGAAGAAGTTGCAACTACAGTTTTGGTTTCAAAAATAAATGTGAAATCTGGCAGAATGGATGTTATCATTTATTTATTCATTCACTTAAAAACAAACAAGAGAATCTATACAAACAATAACAACAAAACAAGTCATAAATGAAATAAAAACAACCAGAAAGAAGAAATATTCTTATCATATCTGCCACTATTCCCCCAAATAAAATTCCAGCAATAATAATATACAAAGCAAATTTACCTCAAATCAACACATATTATGCCATATTGTACTTCTTCCACAATTTCACTTTTATCGTTTAACAACATACACATACACAACATGCACATTTTAAGTTTATTCCACCATCTTGTTCCTTGAATCAATGTACACCGTTCCTTCAAACTGGTTCAAAATCTAGGTATCACAAAAATCTCCATTCCCTTAACAATATAATAACTCTCTGAACCATTTTTATTGAATGTTTAAAAGGTTGCATATTTTTGCAAGACTTACACATAACCTGGAAAATATTAACTAGCGATGCACAATATCAGCATTAACTTCAGTATCGGCCAATGTTGGTCTTTTTCTAGCATATTGGTATCGGTCTGATAAGTAAAACTGGGCCAATAATAACATCCGATATTGATTTCCTGCTTGTCGCTATTTCTGTTTCGGGAGGGGGAAATGGTTGGTCGAGTGGTATCTGTCTGGTCATAATAGTGATTTTGACTCTGCAAAGTCAGGAGTAACTGAAGTAGAGAGCCATGTCAGCGGTCTGGTCAATTTCTATGGTATCAAAAAAGAAGATACAAGTGTGTGTGTGTGTGTGTGTGTGTGTGTGTGTGTGCGCGCGTGCAGCATTGT